AATTCCCCAACAAACTAATGGGACAGATATCCTTCACCTCCTCTATGACTTTTTTCTTGGGGATTAAAGCAATGAAAGTAGAATTCATAGCTCTAATAATCTTGCCTCTCCATGATAAATTTTTTTACAAACAAAAAGAACTTTGGTAAAACATAAAAAAAGATTTTTAAGAAGAGATGGATACGATTCTTTTGGCAATAGACCAACACTAAATTTAATACCTAGTTTCACGAGGACTATGAGAAAATGCAAAGTTTGGTAACTCAACTCATGGGATTCATATAGGAAATGAAACATATATTTTGGTAAAAATATATTATGAATGAGAGGTTAGATAAAGGATAATAGAGAAAGAAACCTTAGAAGTTTTGGTGAACAGGGCAGTCGTGAAATTCAAAAAATACACTGAATATTTATTTTCTCTACACATATAACTCTTGAATAGCACATGTTTTGCGCATTGTGTATGAAAACTAAATATTAATATTACATAACACGTGAAATTTTTTCAAACCAAAATTTAAAAAATCAATGATAAATACAGTGGAGGACGAAGACAATTAATTACCACACCAAATCGACTACTCATACAAAATGTAGCCTACTAATTCGTTCCAAAATGATAATTCCTCTTCAAAATGATGAAAGTAACATACATATATAGGTTTCCATTCCCACTGACTTATTGAAAACCACTAAATATTTCTAAAATAGGTAGGAGGTTGTATTCCCCAGTGATCTACCAAAAAAAAAAAAATTTGGAAGGATATAGTTTAGCTATGTAAATTGCAGAAAGGAAAGTAAAATTGTGACAAAATGAAAAGAGAATAAAAATCCCCTTAATAAATAGAAAAATCAAAATTTTATATCGCACAAATTATGGAAAGTCAACTACAATTACGATAAAAATGAGTTCGCCAAAAATCCTCTCAAGAAATAAAGAATTCCCAAATTTATGGAGGTTTACTCGCAAATTAAAATCCATATTGAACAACCTACGCTAAAATCTTTATTCGCGAAGTATTCTACCCTATATTCTCTAACACAACAGGGTTCTTTCATCATTGAATGACATGTATCCTACCCTTAACTACAACTTCAATGTGTGGCATAGATAATGTGATAGAGTGTGTGCTTTTAGACTATATGTAGTGTCCCCATTTTATTATATATATACATATATATATATAGGAAGATGCTAGGGTGAGCCCATTAGCTCACAAGAAAAAATGAGCTCAATGGTCTAGATTGAATCTGGTACGTACTGACGATCACAGATATCTGGTAGTGTTTGAATTTTAATTTTTTTTCTACAAATATAAATCACTTGAAATTTGGATCATGTGTACATAAAAAATAGATGAATCTTAAAAAAATATCAAAAAAATATTTTACATGAAATAAATTGACTAAAATACCCTAAAAAAGCTTCAGGAGTATTTTGGTCAATGTTTTTTCACGAATTATTTTTTTTATATTTTATTAGGTACCGTTGATGAAAAGAACACACACCTAAAATTTCAAATAATTTGGATTTATAAAAAATAAATTAAAATTTAAATACTACTAGATATCTGTGTTCGTCAGATAGGCCCAGATTCAATAGTTAGATTGTTGGACTTAAAGCTAGTGGGCTCACCCCAAGCTTTTATATATATATATATATATATATATATATATATATATATATATATATATATAGTAGTTAGTTAGGTTAGTTTACGTTAGTT